TGTCTTAACTCTTAGGTTAATTGGTAGAAATAATAATTAATTGATAGGAATCCATAATTAATGCGTTGTCTTAACTCTTAGGTTAATTGGTAGAAATAATAATTAACTCAAACTACTGAGACATGGAATTAACTCAACTTATAATCAATCGCTGTTAATGAATTCGAGTAGAGTAGGAGTGGTAACGATTGGCTTTGGCAGTTAGCCCATATAGGGTTCAGCTCATACTTCACCTGAATTAGATAGAGCATGAGACAGTCAAATGGTTTAGCAGTTCAATCATCCAATTTATAAGGTAATTGACAGGATTGACTAGTTTGACCAATTAATCAGCCAATTTGCAAAGGCATTAATAGAGTCAACTGGTGTAGTCCGATCAGTTTTTTACACCACCAATTTGTCCGATTGGCCGGTTCAAACATGGGTTGAAAATACATGTCTATACATCATTTCTCTCTCTTTGAATTTAGGCTCCGTTCGTTTTTTGATAAGTTATTTATTCAGGTAAATATAATTATTTGGATAAGTTTTTCTTAGGAAACATTAACCCGGGTTYTTTTATTTTCCAGGTTAATAAGGCAATGACCATTTTATCCATAGAAATTCATTATTAAAAGGGGCATTTTTGTCCCGTTCAAGTATTGGCAACTTTCCCCACCTATGAAATGGGTATCATTTTCCTGAACAAGTGATACTTAAGAAAATAAACTTTCTCTGTTCCTCAAATAAAGCTAAAAAAAAAAAAAACATGAGATTCTTGATCAATGGAAACCAAAATCCCATTAACTAACTTCTCCCCTCTCAAAATTCAAAAAAAAAAAGAAAAGAAAAGAAAGAAGAACATCTCCTTAGTGTTATCCTTATCTATAAATGATTGACTCCACTTAAATTTCCCATATAAAAATTGTACAAAGTAATGTGATTTGAACCTAAAACGCCCATGTTAAAGACAATCATTATTACAATTGAGAAACGGGTGATCATTTTCAGCCCAGCCTGACCAGGTCCAGCCCAGCATACACACACAGAGGCCCAGAATCAGGCCCCTCCCAACCTGTGCAGGCCCATGATCACTCACGCCTACATTGAGCCATCTCTAACCAAGTTGTTAAAAAATAAAGTCATCTTTAGCTTTGAGCCATTTTCATAAAATTAAAGAAAGTTGTTACTAGTTTAATGGGTTGGGTTTGGATTTTTGTTCAACCCAACCTATTTATTTGATTTATGTCATGAAAGCGTTGACAAATTAGATGGCTTAGGTTGAAATTCACACCAAAGCCATCCTACCTAATTGCCACCCCTTTAGTGGCTAAGACTACATTTGGCATTCCTTATGATGAACATGCTACGTATAAAATTTAGATTTTAGGCCTGATCAAAGATTTTCACATCATCAATCAATAATCAAAGTATCATAGAATTGACATGGGTATTTCTTGTTCTAAGAAAATCTATGGTACAGTTATGCCACATACTTAAATGGAAATCTTAGTCTTTCATGCATTGACCAAAATCGATTATCATTTTGTCCTTGATAAAGTTGCTTAGGCTCAGTTTGAAAAGAGTATATATATAGTACAAAACCTTGTATGCATTTGCACTATAGATATCTGTATTTGTATTCCTTTCAAACTTTACAATGTAAATTTATTTGCACTGATACAAAATTATGATAATATAAATGATTTGTATGCAAATTCTGATTTATTTTTATTTCAAAGTTTTCCTTATTTTGTTTGATTGGAGTGAAAATAAAATAAAATAAGATCTAAAGCAGAATAAAATAAAACACATAACAAAATTAAACCAGAAATTGCATCCTTTTCATTTGCACTTCTTTGCATTTGTGCTAGTGTAAATAGAATTACACTGCAACCAAACACAGCCTTAATGACAATTAAAGGTGAGTATATATATTCTTGAATCCTAGAACCACAAGAATTGCATGAGCAGCTGTATCTCCTACAACGGCGCCACTGGTCATTCTCTTTGTTAGAGAATCCATTCCATGCAATCATGGCAGATGGAACCACTCTGGTTACATCATCTATGTTTTTTATCAAGGAAAAGTGTTTAGTAATTTGTTATAAAAAATAATTTATTAATTATATTAATAGATTTTAACAAAAATAATAAATTACATAATAAATAATTGTTTTTTCATATTATCCATTAGTATTCTCCTTTATTTATTTTACTTCATTAAAAATTAAATTAATCCATAGATTAACTTTTTTAGTCATAATTAAATTAATCTCAGCCAAGCTCAAGGTTTAAGACTTTAGGTTAAGGTTTGGTTGATCCTCAACCTGACCCAACCCCTTAAGTTGCACCCACAAGAGCAATGTGAAATTTGTAATTAGACTGAATCAAATCTAAGCACTACCCATGCATACATTATTTTTGGATTTTTAACTATTTTAAATAAAACTTATTAATGTTGAACCCGAAGGAGCTATGGGGGTTGAGATACTCCCATTATGTAACATAATGAATCAAAAACATAAAATATCTCAAGCCAGGTTTTGGTAGTGTATTAACAACTTCATAGGTTGCATAGCCCAACCCTGCCCACACCCTAAGCATAATCATATTTGTTTGGACTTGAGATAGGGACAGACTCGCCCATGTTAATTATAAAACTATGGCAATGGGGTGGGAACCATACTCCCCRTCCTCGCTCCCGACTTTGAAACAAATCCCCATCCTTGACCCTGATCCCCACCAAGGATAAATATGGCCCTTCATTCCTGATTCCTAATGAAGACAGGTTCTTTGTTGGGAACCTGAGTCCCCAGAATTTTAAATTAAATTTATTTTTCATAAAATATATTTACTTAAAATAAGGGAAATTTTTTTAAGTATAACAATATTTTAAATATATTCTGATATAAAAATATCATAAATAATATTATATATATAATTGGGGTTAGGACGGGGTGAGGAATTCGCTCCCCCATCTTCGTCCCTATCCTCAACTGGGTATCACTATCAATTGTCTTCCCTGCTAAGGCAATCTCCATTCCTGGCCCGATGGTTACTACCCAATAGGACAGGGAATATTGCTATCCCTATTCATATTCAAATCTTATTAATTGGTTAGTTGTCATAAAACTATAAATTGAAAAATTTAAACCTAATAAATAAAATTAATAAAAGTCTAACCCGAAGTCTTAAACGTTGAGCTTGTGATTAGATTAATTTAATTATGACTAGAGAAGCTAATCTATAGATTAAGCAATGATTACTTTTTTTATAATTTTAAAACAAAAGAAAATAGGAAAAATGCAAAAAAAAAGAGAAAATAGATAAATAGCTTCTCTCAAAAATTAATTTTATTGGTTATATTTTTTATTTTTGGTAATTTATCATATTTATTGGAAATCGTGTTAATCCATTTTTGGTAATTTCTTGGATAATTGTTTTGGTAATTATGACAAAATTATTGGCACTTTATTTTTTGTTATTTTCTTGGATAATTTCTTTTCATTAAATGTAATTTTCTACTATTTATAGATTAAATTATATTTAAATAAATAATTTAAATATAATTACTTTTAATTAAAATTTAAAATTTAATTATATTACTTACAGTTTAAAATATAATTTAAATAATATTTAAAATACAATTTAAATTATAACTTACATTAATTAACAATTTAAAAACTGTTAATTAATGAATTAATATTTTTTAATAAATACAGTATTTTAATAAAGACTGTTAATTAATAAATACTATAATTAATAATACTACAATTATTGAAAACTGTAAAATACGGTTAATTATTGGTACTGTAATTATTAAAAATACTGTTAATAAAAAATTCATTATTTTTAATAAATAGTGTTAATTAATTATAATACTGTAATTATTTAATTACTGTTAATTAATAAATACTGTAATTGTTAATACTGTTTTTTAACAAATTATAACTTACATTATATTAATTTAGTAAATTCATTATTTAATGTTTTTTTGAATAAATGTTGATAATTATTTAAAAATACTATAATTATTAAAAATACTGCTAATTATTAAAAATATTGTAATTATTATTAAACTATAAATTTTAAAACATAGTAATTATTATTAGTACTCTCCCTCTTTCTCTCTCTTAAATGTCTTTTTTTAATGTAATAATAACATGCATTAAAACAAGAGGTATTGAAAAATCTAGGATCTGGTGTCTCTCTCTCTTTATTTATATCTGTTTTTTTTTCTCCAATCTTCCTTGCGTTTCCCTGATTTCATACAATATATATGGCTCCAAAGATAAAGACACTGTGACTCTAATTGAGATTGAGAGGAGTGGGCTTTGGAATTTGTAAGGCGGCCTTCATAGAGAGAGATAGAGTCATAGAACCGAAGTTAGTTTTTGGACACAGCATATCTGGACTCCTTTGTTTTTTTTTTTTTTTTTTTTTTTCCTAGGCTTAAAACACAGTAGTGTGGTCAGAGCTAAGTGGCTTGCAAAACCCTCATCGACCTGATCCTGATTTCTGCTAACGATGGCCTTCCAGTGACATGCTTAATCTACACCCTCTTCCTACCTTCGGCTCTCATCCTAGCCTCGTTAGCAATGTTTTGAAAACCGGATCAGATCGGACGATCGAACTGGAAATATAGGGAATCAGTCATTTAATTGGTTATGTTTTACTCCAAGACTATTATTTGGCCAAAAATCGTTGATTTGATTAACGAACCATTGGTCCAAACGGTCAAATCGTTTAACCTAAAAACGGTTTTTGACCGTTTTTGAATTTTTAAATTTTTTATTTTTTTGTCAGAATAGGCCATCCGTTAGGACCAAACAGTCAGACCGTTCAACACGGGAACCAGACCCAGAACAGTTCCCTGTCCAGTCCAGTTTTAAAAACCTTGCTCCTTAGCCTGCTGCGTTCAGCTCTTCTCTCGGTCCAAACCATCACTACTATTCCTGTTCTTCTTTTGCCAATATTCCCCTTTTCCTTGGGTTTGAATGAGGATAGAAATAGCAGGAGATTGTACAAGTGCAATGTGCAAACCAGAGAGAGATTGTTCACACGAATAAAACTTAGGCCCCATTTGGTTTGTGGGAATAGGGGTTTTGAGTCAGAATCAGAATAGGCAATTTCATTTTCAACTGTTTGATTGGATGGAATCAGAAATCTCATTTCCATTTCTACTGAAATGGCATTCCCCTCTATTAGGAATGAAATCCTATTCCTACTGATTTTAATTCTCATTCTCATTCCTATCTAAGTCAAACAGACTATGAGAATAGACTATTCCAATTCCGATTACAAACCAAACGGACCCTTAAACGTGACTCAAAATACAGCTGTCATTATTTTAAGTGAATACTGCGGATGCCACAGCCGATCCGGACTGTGCTGCTGTCTGAGTTGGACCCGTCTCACAAAGCTAAAAGCTGCTGTCTGAAAACCCTCCGAAACGGGCACAAACCTGTAAATTGGGGTTTTATGCTTTAGGGCTTTAAAAGCCCAAGCCCCGAAGCTTATCATCAACAAATTTCATTTTTTGGTAAAAAGAAAAGAACAAAAAAAAAAGAGCTGCACAAGGACAAGACGGGGGTAGCTCTTCCCTAAAAGGAATACAAATACAAATGTGTATAGTATAAATATATACAAAATAATATAAAATGTAATGTTTTGTACTCTACAAATTTGTATTTGTACTCCTTCCAAACTGAGCCAAAAGACCAAAATATACAATAAGATTTAGATCAATCAACAAACTTCATTTACACTATTATTGGGGCTTGTTTACCCAGGCAACAGTTAACCGCTTGTTTAAGAGCCAAGACAAGTCGTCCATATTGTTGGGGGTTGATGTCACGTCACCTTATTAAATGTCAAACATGAAATGAAAGGCAACGGTCTGGTAACTGGCACATCCATTTATTGAATTTATTTTCGTTTTAATGATGCATCAGTATTCAGCTGCAATTGTCTCCACCATCACCAAACCAGTCAACAAGAAATTCAATTACATCTCACCATTGTTTCTTCTTTTTTCACCTTCTGCATCGATCATCACAAACCAATAATCAGACCCCAGAGGAAGAGGAACAAATAAAGATGGAAAAAAGAAAGGGAAGTTAGAAATCTGTAAGGGAGGTAAGAACTTGGAGAACCATGATCCTTTGAGTAAGTTTCTTCGTTGCCCATAAAAAAGAAGCAAGCTTCTTCGTTCAACTTACATTGGAGATGCGCATCCATGATTCCAGCGTTTTGAGAGCCTTTCCTGAACGTTGGGTCTCGCTAGCCAGGGTTACTCCTTCAGCTAGGCTGCTTACTTTCCCACTTACTAGGAGAGCTGCTGCTGCATTTAGGACCTGCAATTCATATACAGCCAGTGAACCGGTTTTTAAGGTCTCTCTCTCTCTCTCTCTCTCTCTCTCTCTCTCTCTCTCTCAGGGAGGGGGTTTTGCATGGTAGTGTTCGGAAATAATTTAGTACTTCTTTGATCAGATTAATTTAGGAGATAATTATAGCTACTTACAAAGGCATCCGCTATAGATCCTTGTTCTCCAGATAGTACGCGCCTTAGTATCTCTGCATTATACTCTGGGTTGCCTCCTCTTAAGTTCTCTATTTTACAGCGTTGAATACCAAATTCCACTGCACAGTGCATGTTCTGGATAAGTCAGTAGCAATGTTGTCAACAAGAAGCAGGGGAAGAGTTATGATTTTTGCAACCTGCTAAGTAGCTCCAAACCTTAATAAAAGATGAATAGAATGAAATAACTCTACAAGGACGACTGTTTTGTCTTCCATTGGAATGCATTGCATGAAATCCTAAAATGATGACGTCTCTTTCTTTTATTGACCTACTTTGGATGATTTGATCATGTAGTTGAATGGATGTTATAAAGTGACGTTATTAAGATTGTTACATGGATCAAAGGAGAACTTCTCAATCTTCTCGGGAGTAACATCAAGGACTAGTCCAGGTCCTGCCAACAAATATCACCATAAGTTATTGTAAAATTAAGGGAAAAAATGAAAAACGGAAAAGTATTTGTCCAAAACTAAGAAATATGACAAGCTAAATCATGAAAATATCAAAAACCAAGCTAGAAAGTGCAGAACATTGGAGTAGGTTTTGATAAGCACAGCTGGAAGGGAGCTTACCAAGGGGGCTCATTTCATCTAAACCCTCTGAGTGAACAACTAATGCCCTTYTCATTCCAAATTTTTGTAGTGCTTTGGCCATTTTAATTACCTGGCCGAAAATGAAGAAACCATTCACTTAAACATAACATTATGTTGATTGTTGAGAAGGGAAATCAGTGGAGAAATCGCCAGTGAACTGATGCAACAAATTAAAAGAAAGGTGAATTTATATGAGTATGTCCAGTGTGATCAATGTGGTGAAGCACTGACTAGACAACCCAAAAAAAATAAAAAAAAGGAAAGATATTATTCTAAATTTAAGATATTGATGGTATCCCATGAATGGGTTAATATAAACTGTAAACATGTAGTAAAAGAATGACACTGACCATTACTTTACAGTTTTTGTTTTGCAAACATCAAAAAATTGGGCTAGATAGGTTAGGGTAGGGAGTCATAGCCTTTTCCTTTCAAAGAAAAAGTGCAATCTTTGACTATTTGATGTATTCCATGTTTGTGGCAACTCCATACCAGCACAGTACTTATTGAAAGAAAACTCAAGGACCTGTCCTGCACTTTTATCTGTTATTCTGTGTTGTGTCTCAATTTTATATACCACCAGTAGACCTAGTTGACGCTCAGTAGTCCCCAGCAACTGCATCATTAGTATCAACCAACTAGCCGGTGATGCAGATGGTCTAGCCCTCAACTGCTTAGTTGATGTTTTGATGACACTGAGCATATCATATATATATTATATAAGCATGCATAAGATGCAAGTGCTCAAATCAGGTCATACATGTGAGATTCCATAAGCTCCAAAAGATTTTAATCATTTTGTTGTCTTTCTCCACCTTATAATCCTCAAATTTAGTGACAATATTTTCTTGTCACCAAACCAGAGTGATACCTTACACTTTGCAACCGGGAAAAAAAAATGAAAAAGTCAGAGTGATTATTATGACAGTACAAGCTTGGTGCATGACGTTGAAGACTCGAATGAATTATTGTTGGGGGTTTCTAGTCATAAATTCTAGAAAACATTCACATGCTTTTTGAAGTCCTAGTTTTATAGAATCTTTCTAATTGACACAAAGTTTTACTTGGCATCTGCAATTGAACCTCACCATATGAAGACCAACTATTGCACATCTTCAACATAAACTAATGTTTCAAAGGTAAGCAAAGAAACTATGGGGTTCTTTAGTTCACATGACTTGAACCTAGTAGTCAGTGATGTAACCTGGAAGAAAGTATCAGATGCCACAAATTAATGGACATTCTCAAAGTTAAAAAGTAGATGATCCTTCTCAAGAGAGAAGATTGTCAGGAAAGGCTATTTCAATTTTCTCGAGTCATATCAAAACGTCACTTCTCCTTGCCCTCTTTCAAAAACATTGTTGTATTTCTGTCATGTATAAACAAGAACAAGAGAAACCAGTAATAGAGACCATATTTTACAAAAGAAGCAAATTTATAAAGAGTTATATGACATGGAGACTATCATTTGATAGCATGAAAAGTAACAAGGAAAAACCTGCTAGTTGTCTAGTACTAAAATATGATGAGAGTACTTACTAAATCTTCATTGTATACGCCAACGACCGCAAAAGGTACCCGAGCCGGGTTCAACATAGGGCCCAAGATATTGAACACAGTCTTCACTTTAAGTGTTTTCCTAATGGGGGCAACAATTTTCATTGCTGGATGGTATCTTGGAGCTATCATGAAACCAATGCCAGCTTCCTTTACACATATCTTTACCCCCTAATTTCAAGAAAGAGGGGATAAAAGGAAACAATTACAAGCAATACATAGAAACTTTAGCAAAACCTTCAGTAGATAGAGACTTGAATATGGAAAGAAGGGTTTTGATGGTTTAAAGGAAGCAACATTCTTCAGATGTGGTTGATGATGAGTTAATTATTAAATTTTGAATTTTCCTTGAAAATTTATAGACAAGATATTGCATAAAAAGCTGACCCTATTGGTACACTAGGCATTATTTGGTTGAGAATCTTGAGGTGTTGCATAAAAAAACAGTTCCTCTTAAAACAGAAGCTTAGGAAATTTAAAGAAATAGCATGACAATGAGAAATAATAATAAGAACTGCATGAAATAATGTATTCTGCAGAACAAATCTAGCTGCAAAAATGTATATCTCGAGGAAAGCATACAAAATGCATTCTACCAAATTCATGGATGCAATTAGGGCAAATTACTTCACAAGCTGGTGCAAAATGTTTCGCTCCAACAGATCTATGTAAATGACGAAATGGCATACATGATTTCATTCTCTAGTTCTTCATAGTTGGAACTTGGAACCTAAGCTTTGTTATTTAAAAGTGTTCCATAAGTTCATCCCCGTTAAATAATGGTGATAGAGAATATAGTAATAATAGTCATTCCACATATTAGAATGAAAACGGATCTACCCCAACATTTAAACCAGTAAACAAAAATTAGTGTACCGACTTCAGGATCCAGATCGATCACAACTCCCAATGCTTCCAACACATCGGCGCTTCCACATGCAGAAGAACTGGAACGGTTTCCTTGCTGCAGGGCAGACAACATACTCATTCTTGTTACTTTTCTCTGTTCGCTCAGTCTACTACTCTCTGAACAAATAAATTATAGAACAAGGTAACATTTATTGCAGGAATTGATCGTCATTGGAATGGGGGTTGGAGTGGGAGCGACTGACTTTTGCAACATTTGCACCGGAAGCAGCGGCAAGAATGGAAGCACCGGTCGAAATGTTAACCGTGTTTGCCCCATCGCCACCTGTTCCAACAATATCGACCGCATCTCCAACCTCTTCAACCTTCACAGAGTATTTGAGCATCGCCCTCGCCAATCCTACAATCTGCTCATCAAAACAAAATAAAGTCTAATGATTTCTGGAATAGCAGGCAAAAATGTTGGTCAAGCAGTTTGTCAACCCCTAAAACCAAGCTATTGCACATTTAGCAAGCAAGATCAAGGTCAAAGGAAGAGAGGAGAATACTGTTGTATGTACTTCTTCAAATGTCTCCCCTTTGGCTCTTAAGAGAACAAGAAAAGCGCTGATGAGGGCTCCATTGGCTTCTTTGAGTAGAAAATCGAGAGAGGCTTCTGCTTCCACTTCTGATAAATCTTGTCGATTGATTAGAGATTCAATCAACTGCAGAATTACAAAAGCAAAAGCTTTTAGAAACTATTCTTTTCATATTAATAATACTAATGAAAGAAAAATTCGAACTTCTGAAAGAATAGAGATGATAGTAGTTTGTTGCATACCTGCTTGAAGGATTGTATCGGCGGATTTGAAGCTTGGTAAGGATCAGGCAAAGTAGTTGCCTGGGCCTTTAAGATCGTATATTTGAACTGGGAACTCGGGGCACTGAATAAGCATTTTGGGATTCGAAACCGGCGCCCTGAAGGCCTGTTGTTGGTCAAAGAACGAGAGACGATAATACCATCTCCTCCTGCAAGAACAGCTGCCATTTTTCACTTTCTTCCTTTTTTTCTCTCGTTCTTCGAATCAAATCAACCTATGTTTCATTGGTCTGAATTCTATTAAATATTAAAAGTGTAAATAATAATGTGGAAATTTTATTTTTACTAAAATATCTTTCTTTTTTTTTAATTTGGTCTCTCTTTGATAGAATCTTTATAAAATCTTCTATATTATATTTAAGCTATTAATTTTTATTAACATTTATTGCTTAACTAGAATACCTCTGTTTTCTAATTTTGTCTTTCAAATATAATTTTAAGTATTCATTTAATTCTCTCGTTAAGTCTTATATTGAATCTTATATTAATTAACCATATTAAAAAAATAATTGATTTTTATTAATGATAAAAATACAAATTTAAAATCAATCTAAAATGGAATTATTTTTCTGTTTGGTGGCAAGTTAACAATTCAACCTCCATGGATGAATCCTAATATCAAATATTCCATCATATTAAAAAAATAAGTATAATGAATAAGAATAATTTTTAAGACATAAAAATATAAAAAAAATATAGAAAATTCTAGAAACATATTACTTACTATAGTCATCATCATCTAAAAAATTGTCACATGCAATGCATGTACAGACCTAATATTTCTTTAAAGTACTCCTAAATTTTTTGACAATTGATATTCGCAATAAATATTAACAGAAATAATATTTGTTTTACCCTTCATATTCTTCAAATTTTCAAATACATATCACACTTTTAATAGTATCCTAATAGCAAAGCTATATATATATATATATATATATATATATCTTTGCACACAATCATCATCCACCTCTCTTACCGTGGACATAAAACCTCCAACCCATCCACCTCTCTTGGTGCCCGTGCAAAGTACTATTGAAAGGAACGAAACATGATTGTCTGGAGAGGTTTTATGTCTGGTGTCAATTGACCAATAGATTAAGAAGCTAAACTAGAACTGATCAAGGAGTAATTGGTGCCCAAGAAGAGGTTTGGGAATGTGCATGGAGAAGAAGAAAAGATGGAGAGAAACAAGGGTAGCTACTAGTGATGAGGGGGGTAATTTGGCACGACCTAGTAAGTAAAGGTCATGTGGACGTGATCTACATGTAGAATGACAACTTAGCAAGGGGAGTCTAGTCAGCAGTTTACAGAGTTTGGATGTTYTGCCACTTCGGCATAAGGTCACCTCGACATAATGCCAATTCGGCATAATACCACCTCGGCATAAAGTCACCTTGGCATAAGGACAACTCGGCATAGAGTCACCTCAGCGCTTAATCAAGTTCGGGGCCCAGGAACCGAAGTGACACGTAATCGATTCCAGAAGCTTCCCAACAGACTCCGAATATCACGGGATCACGCCGCATAACAGCAAGCCTTATCCTCTCCCCGCCTGGATCGGRCGGCGACGATAAACTTCATTGACTGATACGTTACTCCCCGACTAAAGCGAAAACAAATCTCATCCACTCAGGCCGCAGATCCCAGAACCATTTTGGGAGATCCATGATAGCTCAGTTATATAAGGGCATTAATCCCTCCAGGGTCCAGGTACGCGCGATTACTTACATTCAAGCTCTCTAACACTCAAACTTTAGCTCGCAACCACAACAAGGATACTGACTTAAGCATCAGAGCGACCTCCCCGGGTCATCCACCCCGGTCACTTTAATCCCTGCTTTGCAGTTTGATCCAGCTCTTCACGTGAGTACACACAAGCAATCCTCCAGCTAGGAGCTCCTAGATTGCGCATCATCAATTGGTGTCGTCTGTGGAAAATCGATCGAAAGGCCATCCCAATTCTATTTACAGTCATCCAGCCACAACGAAAAGAGTAACATGAACATTACTGGGGACAAGAGCAGCAGATAGTCACTCCCCAAGGATCCTCGGTGACTATCRGCTAGTTCACCATTGCTCTGACTGCCTCTAGGGTCCCATCACTGTCTGTGCCGCACACTACCCAACAGGTGAGTGTCCTGCTCCCCTAGGTGAACGCCACGTTCTCGGAGCCTTCCGTGATTCCCCTGGGGTCGGGCACTCCTAGTTCAATGATCTCGTCCAGATCGTTCGAAAGATGCAAATTCAAATGCAGCAGATCCACCAATTCCAGCAGTTTCAACAATACTATTTTTACCAACAATATCAACAGCAGTTCCCACCACTACAACCAAGCCAGCCGACAAACCATCATCAAGGGAAAATCTAGAATCAGAATCAGCACCAGGCTCACCGGAACGTTCGCCAGTCTCCCCCCTACGGGAAGAGAACTTCGTAGGTACCGGTCCCTCCCTCGGAATGGACTCTGCCGTGGGGTACATTAGGCGACAGATGTACTCCCCCTACTTGCCGAAGAGAGAGCTCAAGGGATAGGCCCGAACCCAGCAAGCCCGAGAGGTGTCGTCAGCAAGTTTCTCATGGAGATCGTCAGCTCGGGGCCCGAAGCGCGGGCTCGAGAAGAGACCCCTCGGTTCCACGCAACAGCCAACACCGAGTGCACGACGAAGAGGAAGCGGCGAGGAGAATCTCTGAACCACCTCGCCCTACTATTCAGAGTAAGATTGAAGCACCTGACAACACAAAGGCCGACTGTACAAATGTCGCTCCACCAAAGAAGCAGCAACGGCGACGTCGCAAGACTCGCCGTTCATCAGCAAGGAATGATCCACCAGCGAAGCCCAACCATCTAGCAAATCAAGGTCAAGAAAGAGAGGAGGTGAACTCGGTGGCCACATGAACAATGCCTGCTCTTTTGAGCTGGCCTTCCCCCTATCACCCGAGCTCCTAGCGGCCCCGATGCCGAAAGATTTCAAGGTGCCGCCTCTAGACAAGTATGATGGGTCCTTTGATCCTAACGATCATGTAAACACATTCCATTCCCAAATGCATCTCGCCAGGGCCGACGAGGCTTGTATGTGTGTGGCTTTCTCCACCACATTTAGAGGAGTAGTTCAGACCTGGTACAGAAACCTCACATCGGGTTCCATCAAAAGCTGGGCGTAGTTCGCGGATATGTTTACGGCCCACTTCATCACTAGTAAGAAGTGTCTGAAGTCATAGGAGAGCCTTTTGAACGTGGTGCAGAGGGAAGGAGAGTCAATTCGGAGTTACATCAAGCGCTTCAATGAGACATGCCTACAGATACCGGATCTTGACCCAATAGTACGTCTCACCGCAGCGTGCAAAGAAATCACCCACAAAGAGTTCAAGTGGCACGTCGTGGCCAACAAGCCAAAGAACATTACCGAGTTCCTCAAGTTGGCAGAAGACGGTCAAACTGGAGCGACCAGCAGACTATAGTGAGGAGCGAGCTGCCTTGATGGAAGAGACGGTCCACATACTGGTGCCCGAGACCGAACCAACCAGGACTCTCCAGATCGGTGCACTAGTAAGCAAACCGCTCCGAACACAGCTAGTAAGTTTTTTACTTAACAATTTAGATGTTTTTGCTTGGTCTACGGTAGAAATGCCCGGAATTGACCATAGCGTCGTAACTCACAAACTTAATGTGGACCCTCTAGTTAGGCCAGTCAGACAAAGAGAACGCAACCTCGCCCCGAAGCGATGGAGGGTAGTTGGTGAGGAGGTCGGGAAGCTCCTTGCCACAGAYTTCATCAGGGAAGTCCACTACCTGAGTTGGGTTGCAAACCCAGTGCTCGTAAAGAAATCCAATGGCAAGTGGCGCATGTGCGTTGACTACACCGACCTGAACAGAGCCTACCCAAAGGATTGCTTCCCCCTACCCAGAATTGACCGCCTGGTAGACACGACCTCAGGGCATGAGTTGCTGAATTTCATGGATGCCTACTCCGGCTACAATTAAATTAGGATGGACACAGCTGACCAAGACAAAACTGCTTTTGTAATCGAACTTGGGCTATATTGTTATAAAGTTATGCCCTTTGGTTTGAAAAACGCTGGAGCAAATTTCTAACGACTTGTAAACAAAATTTTTGAACCTTTGATTGGCAATAAAGTGGAGTGTTATGTTGACGACATGGTCGTGAAGACCCAGCTTTCTAGATCTTTAATTAATGATTTAGATGTTGTTTTTCAAATTTTAAGGAAATATAATATGAAATTAAATCCAAAAAAATGTGTCTTCGGCGTCACGCCGGGCAAGTTCCTCGTTTATATAGTAAACCAATGTGGCATCGAAGCAAACCCGGACAAAATCAAGGAGGTGCAACAACCAACTCACGTTTGATGAGCTAAAATGGTACCTAAGTACAACCCCGGTTTTAACCCGACCTGAGGAAGGAGATGTGTTGAAGCTATGCCTCTCCACGAGTGACGAGGTAGTCAACTCGGTACTAATCAAAGAGGTAGACCGAGTTCAATGACCCGTCTACTATGTAAGTAAAGTGTTGCAGGATGCAGAAACCAGATACCCCGACATCGAGAAGCTGGCTTACGCATTAGTGGTAGCAACTCAGAAATTATGCCCATACTTCCAAGCCCATACCATCGTCCGTACGGATAGGCCTCTGAGGCACATCCTACTTAAGCCCAAGTAGACCTGTTCATGGGCTGGGTGGCCCGACGGGCCGGCCCGGCCTGGCCCGACCCCCATATGGGCTTGAACAGGATTTTTGGCCCGCGGGCTTAACCTCGGGCCAAAAAGCCCAGCCCGCATAAAATTCGAGCTGGGTTCGGGCTTTGCCAAAATAGCCTAACCCAACCTATAGTTAAACCTAAGTAAAAAACCTATGTGATGTCCATTTGAATAAATTTTTTGATTTGAGAATGTTGTTGATTCACGCCCATTGTTCATTTAAATAGGGGAAAAAAACATCTAAATAAAAATAGAAAATGTCCATTTGAATAGGGAAAAATTCGAATTTCTTTTATTAGGTCGGGCTTCGGGCTTTTTATTAGGTCCGGGCTCGGGCCCAAGTTGTAGGCCCATTGGTCGAGTCGGGTCAGGTCGGGTCGGGCCTAACATTTTTCTGTTAATAAAGAGTCAAAGCCCGGCCCGGCCCGGCCCATGAACAGGTTTAAGTCCGAGGTGTCTGAGAGATTGACGAAACGGTCCATCAAGCTTAGCGAATATGACATCCGG